TAAGAATTAGCAAAAAATTAGAAACTCGAACCTGGTCACCGACCGGGTCTTATAAACTAATAATATTAAGGCCTAAGAGTTAATAATGTTGAGGCCTAAGAATTAGCAAAAAATTAAAAACTCAACCCGGCATCGACCGGGTTTTATAAACTAATATTGTAATATTGAGGCCTAAGAATTAGTAATATTAAGGCTTAAGAATTAGCAAAAAATTAGGAACTCAAACCCGGTCACCGACCGGGTCTTATAAACTAATAACGTTGAGACCTAAAAATTAGCAAAAAATTAGAAACTTGAACCCGGTCACCAACCGGGTCTTATAAACTAATAGCGTTAAGGCCTAAGAATTAGCAAAAAATTAAAAACTTGAACCCGGTCACCGACTAGGTCTTAAGAGCTAGTCTACCCTTTACTATTTGGCATTTGGTGTTACTAATTATTTTATAAGCAGGACGGTCATAATAAAAATAATTAGTAAAACAAAGTGTTAAATAGTAGATAAAAAAAAAATTTAAAAAATTTTTTTTTAGAGCCGATAAAGAGATAAGAAGGACGGAATGAGAGTAGAAGTGTGGGTAGAAGAATGGAAGTGGGACAGAGAGGAAGAGGGTGTGAGTGTGGGTGAGTGGGAGCAAAGAGAGTGCAAAAGGAAAGAGTGAAAAAGAAGCGAATAGAAAAGTGGAGTAAAATTTTAAACTCCGATCGTGCGACGAAGTCACGTGACTTCGGATTTCGCATTTCTGTGAAATCAGAGGAGTTTCAAACTCTGCCGAAATGGAGTTTGAAACTCCAATCAAACGATGAAGTCATGTGACATATGGAAATTCGAATTCCCACAAAAATGGTCGGTAACCTGAAATCAGGGTCACGTGACCACGTACATGATATGTATCGTTATACGTATTTAAAAAAATAATTAATTAATTAATTAATTATTAATAAATTAATTAATTAATTAAAAATAAATAAATAAAAATAGATAAAATCGGCGTTACGAATCGGCATAACATAATGTATTGGTGTAATGTACCGAAATTGGCATAATGTATCAAAATTCGTGTAATCTATGGATACGTTTTGTATCAAACCTTTGGAACAAATGTTTTTTAACTTTTTCTAATACTTTTTTCTTAAAAAAAAAAAAAAAAAACTTAATTTTTGTTAAATTTTATACTAATTTTTTTGTTAAAATAATAAATTATTATGTTATAGGTTTTAAAAACATATTAAATAAATTAAATAATAGTAAGTTTAATAAAAATTTCAATTAAACTATTATAAATTAATATTAAATTTACAAATTTATTAAAATATGTAAATTTAAAAAGAAGGTAAAAAATTTACAATTAAAGCAAAAATTTTAAAAATTTATACTATTTATTTAATAAATGTTTTGTTATTTATAAATTATACAAATAATTAATAATTTTATTATAATTTTTTTTTTTTTTTTGAGATAGAAAATGCCAAAAGAAAAAAAAGAAAAGAAAAAAAAGAAAGAGACAAAACAAAGAAGACCTACTCCTGATTATATTTTAAGAGAATATGCAGTACCTGAAAATCCTGAAACTGAACCTAGAAAAGATAGAGAAAATAGATTAAAAAATAAAAGAAATGCTAAATATAGATATTATCAAGCATTAGAAGAAGGAAATGCAGGAGGACCTTCAACAAGAACAAGGTCTAGAACTTCTAAAGCATCATCAGACTCAAGAATAAAAACAAAAGAAGGTCAAAAAGATAGACAACAAGTACATAGAGCTTCTTTGAGTGAAGCAAAAAAAAAAGAAAATTTAGAAAAAAGAAAAAAAGCATATAAAAAGAAAAAACAAGAACAGTTTGAACAATTTTATAAAATAGGATATTGTAGTTTAGATGAATATCAGGAGGAGGTTGAAGATAATGGTGGAGATGATGATGGAGATGATAATGGAGATGATGATGGGGATGATGATGGGGATAGTGGTGGGGATGATAGTGATGATGATGATGACGATGATAATAATGGGGATGATAAAAAGAACATTGGGGGCATAGTGTGGGGAAAATGAACATTGAATGTGAACATTGTGGGGCATTAAGATGGAAGGGGAAAAACCAGGACTTTGTTGCATGAATGGTCAAGTTGTATTAGCACCACTTCAAGCACCACCACCAGAAATTCTTTATTTTCTTACAGAAAAAGATCCAATATCTAAAGTACCATTTGTTG